AATAGTTCACTATGCTAATGTATACTGGTTGTAAATTGGCAGCTAATTTTCAAACATGCAACAGAAACTTTTCAAAAGCATAAATAAAAAAGAAATCGCACATATTAACTGGGTTAGTATAATATACAAGTAAATTTTCTTACTGCAAGCATCATGGGTTCACAAACATTTTTTTTAAACTTGTCTTTGTTCTTTCTTAGCCACATAAGAGCAGAGTGTGTGTCTCGGAATCTCCCTTTAAGCTTCTCTTCCTTCATATTCATTATATTATCAAGTTCTACAATGCAACCGGTTATTCCTGTAATTTAAGACAGTTTCTTAAACACAGTAGTCCATAGTAAATACACACTATAGTTAGCATTTTCCAGTATTTAGTGACTACACTACTCCAGCGATAAGGCTGATAGGCGATTATAAGAATTAAGAGTTCAACTTCCCACAGTCAAGATACCATTTATTCTAAAGCGATCTTAAGAACTAATCAAAGCTTAAATAGAATAGAATGAAGCTTTACCCAAAGCATAACCAAATGTGGTGATACAGTACTTATTTATAGTACAGATCATAGACATTCAGTCCTAGAATTCTCTCTCTTCAAGCCTGGTTCTCCCTTTATATATAAAACCAAACATGCCCCAAGAGGAAAGAGGCAGCAGGAGTACAGTTAGACATTTCTGAGGTTTAATTCATGTTTGCAGAAATATGAAGGTGCAATAGCAGACCAGGCAAGAAAGGATTTGCTATTCAGGAGAAAAGGAAATTAAATGCTTTCAGGAAAAAAACATATAGCCTCTCCTTCCCTAAGCAAGTCCCTTGGTCTTTCTATATCTCAGTTTCTTCTCGAGGTACCTCAGACATACAATCAGTCAGATATGTTAAAGGTGTTTGGACCCTATGAAATATGAAGTGCCAGACAGACGAGTATGTGCAGAAGCAGCACATTCATCAAGAAACAAGTACAATACCCAAAAAACCACAACCCTACCATTTTTTATTTTGCTTCTTAAAAAGAACGAATGGGAATTCCTAGGTTAACACAAAGGAATGCAACATAATTCAGGTTAGCTGAAGTTCACCTGAAAAGGACAAAAGGAGGAAGAACAGCTAATGTCCCGCCAAAAAGATCATTTTAAACACTGTACCTTCAAAAGTAACTCCACTGACTTCATTTTTCTGCCTCCTGCTAACAAGAACCTCGCTTTATTTAATAATAGAAAAAATGTAATTGGCAAAGCAGTCTCCTTACTCACTAAGTTATTTATGTTCCTTTTAACAAAACTGATAACAGCAAAGAAAACTGCTATACATTTAAGATAAATATAAGGCTTGAAGTAACCATTTCAGAAATTATTTTACCACAGCAGTTACCTACCACAACAAGTAGGTTCTGTAAGAATGGTTTGAACAAACAAACAACAAGAAACTTACTTTTCTTTTCCCTCTCTTGGTTAATTTTCTCTGTTCTTAGATCACTAACATCACTATCAATATTTGCCCGTTCTTCTTGCAAACGTTTCAGCTCAGTGTTAACAGCATCAATTTGTGGCTGAAGATTCTCACAGACTCCCATGGTATTGAGCTCATTCTGCCAGTCCTCTATCATCTTACGGGTGTTGTGTATTTTTTTCTGTCTGTCCATTTCTTCATCTTTTTTCATTCTCAAGGCTTGATTAATTTCTTCAATCTAAGAATGTTGAACATTTCCAACATTAAAGGAATTCAGTAAAGAAAACTTAAACAACTAAGACATCGACGAAACAGGTATTAAATGCTGATGTAACTGTGCATTAAAACTGTAACAGTCTGTTCTAGTGACAGTTTAAGAACTGGTAAGATTTTGTTAAAATTTAGGACTGTTTAAGTAAAACTACAATCAAGCCTTTAAATCCATTTTTTTAAAGTTCCTCTATTTTTACGCAATCAGAAGCTTAAGAACGTCCTTAACACATTTCAGAGTTAGTCTAAGGCTACATATAAGCCGAACGACAAAATGGGACGTGCAACTTTAACTCTGCCCCCTTGTGTTTAACTCTGACATTACTTGACCAAGTGCTTAGAGGAGGATCAGTAATTCAGTTTTGCAGCATCTTTTTGGATTGTGTTTTTACAGAGTACTGGATGTATACTCTTAGTTAACAGAAGCAAGAACTCTAGCCTCTCACATAAAATATTTGACGGAATGTTTAATGCTGAGCACATTACTGTGCTGTAGTGGCTGTAGCTTTCCAATCGCAATAGTTGACAGAAGGAAAGCTTGCAAATACATAGCACAAACATATACCATCTATTCTGAAAGTTTATTGCATCAAGGTAACTGATTTTATACAGTACAAACCTGTCCCTTAGCAATACCCTGTTTCACTAACAGGCATTGTATTGCCAGGGGACTTCTGTTTTGGCCAGAAGATACAAAGATTCATTGTGTTCTGGAGGGAGTGCAGTGGTTCAAAGCACTTCCAGCCTCTCCAGAGAGATTTCCCTCTCCAATGACCAAAGAGCAAATAAAACATATATAGATACAGACAGACACAGATCACTACAGAGGTTAAGGAGCAGCGCTCTCTCTGAAGGCAGAACGTGCTATAGCCAGTACTGAATTAACACATTAGCAAAGAAGCCCCAAAAAAGTCATACTCATCAAGATTCTTACTTGCTTATCTTTCTTATCCAAGGCATCTTGCTTTTGTTTACATTTTTGAGAAGTGTCTTTGATTTCAGCAGCCTGCATACAATGACATATTTAAATTAGTCAGTTGTATAAATTCAGCACAGCTATATTTGTAAAAAGTAGCCAGTCATATTTTTAAGGACATTCTGTATACGCATAACTAAGCACTTACTCCACAGCGCACTACTGATAAAAGCCTACTCATCAGTTTTATATTAAAACTACTTTTAATCTGTAACATATCTATCTTCAGAAATTTGTGAAGAACTGAATATTGGCTTTTAATCCGTTCACAACAATGCAACATCAGCAACAGATCTGTAAATTCAGACATGACAGATAAAGGAAGGCTCATAACCCAAACTGAAAAGAAAGTCACCCTTGATTTCAATAAAAGCGTTATAGTTAGACCATTTCAAAACACTCGTGTCTTTTTCCAAACCAACTTCACCATAGAAAGCTTTACTATGATCTCAGAGAGAGAAAGATATAACTTCCTAGACCCAGGAACAGGCAAAACGGCATCTGTCAAAGTCAACTTACTTTTGGAGCATATCTTGCTAGAACTATAAGCCTATGCAGCTGGGCATAACAACTTTGCCTGTTTGGACAACACGTTCCACTACTCGACCACCCTCATGGTTAAAAAATAAAAATAAAAAATAAATAAAAAAATCCTACTACCTAACTAGAATTTCCTATTTTCCAAATTTTGTCTTTGCCTGTCATCCTTTTTACCACCTATCGCCATGACAGGACCTCCTCTGGGGAGGAATCAAATGAGTAGGAACTGGGAAGGCTTATGAAATCTCTTCGCCTCAAGAGGCTACCTGGAAAGTGCAGTGAAAGTGGAAGAAAAGAACTTGGCAACCTCGGGACTTCTTACATTCTCTTATTGCTACTTCAAAAGAACTAAATTGTGATGCGGCTAAAATTAACAATTTATAAGATTCTCATCTGGAAAAATTAGTCAGAAAAAGCTACTGACTGCGGACCGGATAAACACTTTGGGAGTATGACCACGTAGTGGAAGTGTACTGTGTGTTCTCTACATGTTTAATTTCTCGTTCCATGAACCACCAAGGCTGAAAATATAATACAAGCAGAACAGCAGAAGACAGTAGAGGGACGGAAACACTTTAGTTAAATTCCAATGCAGACCTTAAAACAAACAAACAAACAGACAGGACTCTGACTGGAAGGAATTTCTTCCTACAAGGAGTCACAGTGCAAAAGCTATGATGCATCAAGAATGGAGAAAATAATAAAGTTACGCACAATCTTTCCCCTCTCACAAACCAAAAACGCACACAAATTTAAGGCCCTGACTCTGCAGTTGTTTGCATGATGACAACATGAAACAGTACACCTTGATCTTGCAGTTGACTGCAAAAGAGTATCGATTCCATAATGTCCTCTCCAAAGACATCAGGCAGACATTCTCAAGAGGAATGTCTCTCCTGGGAAACAGGAAGCTGCAAAATGTTCAGAAAACAATTCTGAAAGCTCTCAAAGTCAGGACAGTAGGAAAGATGTGGAATTAAACATTTCAGTTATCATATATTTACACGTACCAACCTTACAAGAAACAGTCTAATAACATCAATTGCTTTTATGTTTTTGATGGTACAACTACAACACACTGTTTTATACTGACAAATACTACTCAAAAATAGCATTACGTAGTCCATTCTGTGCAAACGCCATTGAAGAGCCTGGAGGGGCAACTATTCTAGGCTTCTCTCCTGAAATCTTATCATCTTCTTCACGCAAAACGGGCAGACTTCTCTTTCTGCAGAACATCCCAGTAACCCAAAGCACAAAGTTTCACTAGCTTTTCTTAATCTAATCAAATTCTTAAAATAGTTTTAAAACAGAAAGAAACAGAAATTGCCAAGCAGCCCCTGGATGCATTAACTTCTTCCTGGATTTAAGACTGCCTTTACCTTCAGTCCAGCTCCTCCCAGACAAAATCTGTAACTGTATGCCTGGCGTTGTGCCAACAAAGCCCAAACAATACACACTCAAGATGTGGTTTATCTCTACTCTCACACATGTATCCTCCAGCAAAGAGTCACATCTCAAGAAGCAGTCACATTTATAGTTATTTGATAACTGATAGAAGCCTGGACCAAAGGGCCTGAAGAAAGTCATGTAACCTACAGATCTGTGTGTCTGACTGAAATACAGAGGACTTCTAATGCTAAGCTGCTTACATTTAACGCCAAACTGACAGTAGACTTACTAACCAACTTTAAGTAGACTCAAAAACCAACTTCTGTGCCAAGAACAGAGCTATACTTCTTTCATAATAAAATCGCTCATTCATCAACTCATGCTGGTCATAGCATAACCACACACGACATACTCATGAAATGTTTCCATCTAAAGAGATCAATTTTTAAGTTCCGAAACATTCAAGCAGTGTCTCTGAAGAAACGCAAAACTTCTGAAAGGTGGCAATTTAAGCAATTTCTAGGTACAGTATTTAAAAATCTTGAGGTTTTGCCTTAGGTTAAGAATTGTCTCATGATAGTACCCGCAGCACAGATTCTGCTTTAAATTAAGGAGAACTCCATTTTCAAAGACCAACAAAAAAAGCTATGTGTGAGGGAAACAGGTTTCAATACCCAAAAAAGAGGCACCGGCACAAAAGTTCAAGAAGTATCAATACTCCTGTAACATACTAATTTGTAATCACATCAAGAAATATTAAGTCTACCTAGGTTAATAGGCAGCTGTTTATTTATCTTAAGGATACCTCTTAACCGAAAAAAGCAAAGGAAGATATGTAATTATCCAGAACACCCTGCTAACATGTCTGATATAATTCAAATATCCGTGGTATAACCAGGCATATGGCTTATCACCATAAGACTCTCTTTGTTCTGTTAAGATCTTGGGAGTTTACACGAGTTCTTCAAGAAAGAAGAAAACGCACCCAATTCATTCTCTGGGCCCAAACTAGACACTACTTTGGCATAAAGTTAACCTTGGAAATGTTTCGCGTATCAAAGTCTTAACCCACAAGTTTGAATTAAGCAAAGAAACATGTTGATTCAAGTGTCAGGTAGGTCAGCCAGCACATCCTCCGACTTTGCTTCCACAATTCTCTTAGCAAATAATCTATGCTGAGCACGCGCTCTGCAAGTTAAAACTAAAATGCTTACTGTTCTTTCTCCAGGTTTCATACACAAACAAAACATAACTTTTGCATTAATATAGCTCAATACTTTCAAAAATTGTGGCACCAGTGGTTCACAGCAGATTTCCTTCCTGTTTAAAAAGATGTATCAGTAAAACATTAATTAAAAATGAGAGATATGATTAAACCCTAGCAGGATAATACCAAGCTGTGAAAACACAGCTTAG